AGCCTCCCAACCTTCAAGCTCTCCTCAAGATCTCCCCAACCCAGCCTCAGGAGGGGTGGGGGACTCCATCTCGATACCTTCCCAAAAGCAAGCCCAGCCTTAGCTGCCTCATAAACAGGATGTACCTATTAGCAAGGACGATGGAGGGGAGGGGAAGGGAACCTCCTGGAAGAGAGTTGGCCCTCTCCCTTCTGGGGGGACCCCAGCTGCTAGCTTCTTTAGGCTTCAGGGTGGGCTCTAGGAGTAGATTCTGCAAACCTGGGCTGGTGTACGCTACTTAGGGCATCTGGCCTAGAGTGGGTAGTGGGTCCTCCTCCCCTTTGTTACTTAGTAGGATTGATTGTGATGGTTCCTCACTCCATCCCGAGGGTCTGCTCAGTTGGCTTGACTGGCTGGGGGAGGGTTACAGATTTGGAGGCTTAAGTGTTTATAAGATTCCCTTCTCTCTATCTTAGTTTTTGCCGAGGGATCGTATGGGCCGGTGTGGAGTCGGGGGTTGAAAATAGAGCCTTCTTAGGACCTCCTCCCACGTGCTAAGGAGAGAGTGGGGGAGGGGGTTGTGAGCACAGCCACACTGTGGATTCCCCCACCCTCAACTTTTTATATCCTCACTCCTATGCGGGGAGAGAGGGTCAGGGACTGCAAACAGACCTGACTGAAGACATACACGCTTATACAAGTATTTCCTTGACAGCATCCCCTGCCTGTTTACCGACTCCCCACATTGCCCTAGGCAGAGGTCAGTGCTAGAGGGAGTAAAAGGAATCAAAAGCTGCAGAACCCTGGCCTGAAATTTTAGATACCTAGATTTGAATTCCATCTCTGCCCCTCACTAGCAAATGACCTGAGACAACTGACTTCCCCACTCTGAGCTTTACCCTCTAGCTTTACCCTCTGTAATTGGTACCTGCAACTTGGTAAGAATCCAATCAAACACTGTATGCCCACTTAGCCCAATGCCAGCCATGACTCAATATACATTAGCCCCTTTCTGCATTCTTTGAGGTTATCTGTTTTTCAAGAGTGTCAGGAGTGGGTTGGATTGGCTGGAGGACTAGAGATAGTGTGGAGGAGAAGGACTATCTGCCTTGACCCCTTTTACTCTCTACTGCCCATGGATTTGCCTTCCCCCAATCCTGTGACCACTTATGCCTAAGGCCACTCATTCCAAACGACTAGCTTGGCCAGATTCCATGATGAGTACCAATTACCTGGTTGGACACAGGGGCTAACAACCCACCCTGTAGGGGACTTTGCCTCCTCTGAATCTGAGATTTCCTTCTCCTAGATTACACATGGGGAATATGGAAGGCAAAGAAGAAAAAACAGCATTTGTTGAGCATATACTATGTGCCAGGCATTGTGTTAGGTATTTCACACCTGAGATGTCATTTACTTTTCATGACAACCTTTGGAAGGTGCTGTTAACTTCCAACGAATAAACAAGAAAACTGAGGTTTAAAGAGGTTAATGAATTTAAACTTGTAAAACAATCTTCTTCCTCTTTGCCTAGTAACTAGTTAATGCCTCAGTTAAACCTCAGTTCCAGCTTCATCTCCTCTGGGAAGATATCCCTCCCAAACCCACCCCAGCTGATCTAGTGATCCAGTTTCCTTTAAGGAAATACCATTTCATACTATTGAATGGGTGATCAAACTAAGTTATTTAAGTTCTTAGAAGAACCAGGCCTAGGGAGGTTAAATAACTTACCTAAGGTCACACAACTAAATATTAAGCTCTTTTCCCTGCCTTACTGCTAACATGGCCCAGACCTGATGAAGGAGAGAACATCTTTAGAACAACTCTAGGAATTGTGGTGCTGACAAAGATGGGAATAGTCACAGATGCCTGGAAGGTAGACCTGGAGTGTGGTAGGGAGGCAGCAAGCCTAGGTCTTTAATGACAATGTCCTGGAGGATGGCAGCCTTAGCTGATTTGGATGGATGGATATTAGCACCTAGTACTTTTTTTTTTGAGGTGAAATCACATGACATAAATTATTCATTTTAAAGTGAACAACTCAGTGACATCCAGTATTTTTAAATAATAGTCATTAGTGCAAGATTGACTCTAGACACAAGGAATGAAGAAAAGTGGGAGGTATCGAGAAGAGGTGAGGTAAGAAAATGAGAAGGGAAGAGAAATCCCACAGAGGCAGACAGCAGAAGCAACTGGTTAGGCTAACTCCAGGGGAGGTGAGCTTTCTGCTGCTTTTAGCCCCAAGAACCTGTCCCATTCAACTCTCTCCTGACCTTGACCTTCGCCTTCTCTCTTTTTTCTCACATTTCTCTTACACTGAAACTTCCTCAAATTCTTATTGACATTGCTCTTTCAAGGATGAGTCTTCTTTTTCCACCAAGATATTAGAATAAGAGTGAGAGAGAGACAGAGAGAGAGGGAGACAGACAGACAGACAGAAAGAAACAAGTACCTAGGCTGAAAGTCTCAGTCTTTTAATAACCTAAACTTGGAAGTGATATATCATCACTTCTACCTTATATTATTGGTCACAGAGACCAACCCTGGTATATAATATGGGAGGGACCGACATAAGAGTGAGAATATCAGGACGTAGAGATTATTGGGAGCCACCTTAGGGGGTCCCAGCCACACCAGGCCTAGTCCTCAGTGTTGCAGGTTTGGAGATTCAATTTGATCAGTGAATCATCAGATTCAGGAGACTGACTCATGCAGATTAAAAACACATGAAACATTATCTAGATACTACTTTCCCTCTTTTCTAGAACTCTTTATTAAACTGGTCTTCCTTTTGAACACACAAATATGTTCCTACTACAGAGCCTATGCACTGGCTGTTCTTACAACAGAATGTTATTTGAATGGTAGGTCTTCCTTGTGATTCAGGTCTTACTTCGAATACCTCCTCTCCAGAGTCCTTACCTGATCACATCATGTACATTTTTTCCCTCTTACTTTTTACACTTTCCACCCCATTTATTTTCTGATAGCACTTATGGCTCTCTGAAATTATTTTACTCTTTATTTATTTGAAGATTGTCTCCTCACTAGAACGTGAGCTTTGTTTGGGAGGATTTTTTGTTTGTTTGTTTTTTGGTCTGTTTTTTCCTTACTGCATCTCCAGTGCCTAAAACAGTGCTTGGCACATAGTAGGCACTCAATAAATAAACTGGAATATTGATTTGCTAATTCATATTGAGAAATACAGATCATGTGAACTGGGCATTTTGTTCTCTTTCTCCCCATAGAAAATAATATATGAAGTCAGTTATTATAATCAGAGAAGCCTTTGGTGAGCATGGAGTCAGGCAAGGACACGTGATTGGAAGTTCCAATGTTTGGTGGCCTATGCATCAAGGTTTTCCTTCATGGCCCTTAGGAATACACCTGCCAAGGAGACTAGTAGCCATGACACTACCTATGTCTCACTGGTACTGGACACCCAAAGAATTATTTTTATCTTTTTGAGTAGATTCCATGCAGACACCATACTTAGGTGAGTAGATTGCTTTGTCAGATGCTGAACAAAACAAAAATGGCATTATTTTCTTCCTTTAACATTAATCTTCTTCCCAAAGCCTAATCATCATAATTATGACCATAATTAGTGTCCAAATCATGAACATTACTAAGCATCTCTTAGAGTATGTTTCTTCCACAGAAGAATTGTGCCCGTCCTTCCACAGAGGAAGAATTGGTTCTTACTGATTTCTCATAGGCAAATTGTTTCCAGGTTTATTGGAAATAAAGTTCATTGTTGCCCTCTGAGAACTATTTTATAAATTGTGAACAGACTCGGTTTCTGAATGTGTGACTTTCAAAGTTTATTTGAAAGACAAAACTAATATACCTGAAAGGTTATGAAACTAACTAAAGGCAGTTGAAGTAGTCTACCCAGGATGCTATAACAGAATATCACAAACTAAGTGGCTCAAACAACAGAAATTTATTTTCTCACAGCTCTGTAGGCTGAAATTCCAAGATCAAGGTGCTGGCAGAACTGGTTTCTGGTGAGATCGCTTTCCCTGTGTTGTAGGTGTCTCTTCCTCTTCTGACACTAGTCTTATTGGGTTAGGCTCTTGCCTTTATGATGTCATTTAATCTTACTACTTTATTGCTTTATCTCCAAATACAGTAATATTGGGGGTGGAGTCCTTTAACATATACATTTTGTCTGGTGTGGGGGTGCAGGTGGGCACAAGTCAGTCCATAACAGAGGTCCTCTCCTCGTGAACGTTTTGTGGGAATGTAGATTGATGCAACCTTTCTCAAGGGCAATTTGGCATTACCACCAAAATTTCAAATATATAATACTTTAACTCAGCAATCTCATTTCAAGGAAATGAGAGTACAAAAGTGTGAAGACACATGCACATATGTACAGGAATGTTCACTGTAACTTAATTTATAATAGCGAAAAACTAGAAATAAATATAATTTAAATAATGATATAGCCATATAATAGAACTGGTACTCGTGAAGATCTCAGTAAATATTTGGTTAATGAATTGAATAACATATTGTTACATGAAAAACAGCAAGTTATAGAACCACACATATGGAGTAGTCTTATTTTTGAAGAACAAAAAAGACCAATGTGCAACTCTATACATTTTTATATTAATAGAAAAAGTGTGGATGGATACACACTGAAGGTGACAAGGGTTAAATCTGGAGAGAATTGGAATGTGCAGGCCAAGTACATTTTTTACTTTTCATTTTTTACATGACTTTTAAAATTTTGTAAAAAAGTTTTAAAAATAAGAAACCAATATGAATAGCTTCTAAATGGCAAGTGGGTGAATAGTAGAGATATCGATGGACTGTAGAAATAGAGATGGATCACGGTTGGCTGGGATGATCAAAAAGGCTTTCTTGGATAAAATAGGGCATGAAAGATATTTCGAGGTTGAAATATTCTGGACGGAAAAAACAAAGCAGAACATCTGTTGTTTGGGGAGGACAGCAAGGTGATCTACATCACCAGGAAATAATAAATTTGGTATAGACGCCACCCTGGATTCCGAGCTGCCCAGATAGACGCTGAGAATATAGTGTTTTGAGATTAAACTCACAGTAGTGCCGCAGTATGAGATTAGGTGAGGGTTCGAGTCTGGAGTGCCGGTGCCCACTAGGGGGTTCTGTTTAAAAACACAGGCCCACTTGGCTTAGGTGAAAGGAATGTACAGTGCAGTAGGTAATACGTTAAAGACGGCGTTCTGATAGCTGGACAAATTTGGAAAATAAAATATGTCAATGTTAGCTCTCCCCTTATTACTTCTCGCTCTCCAACTGGGTCCCTCCACACAGCAAAAAAATAAGCATCATAGTAAGCCTCTAGCACTGCGCTTAAAACGACTACCACTCCCAGGTTCTCTCGCGAGGCCAGTGGCCCCTTTCCGGGCGCAAGTGGGTCTCGCCGTACGGCCTTCTGGGATTCGTAGTCTTGCATTGTCTTCTGGGAGTTGTAGTTCCCTTACAATCGGCAGGGCGAGGCAGGCGACTCGGAGGCGGCGCCGGCTATCAGAGCTGCGCTGGATGTTCGGGGGCCAAGATGGCGGCGCGCCGGGGACGTAGAGACCGAGTCGCGCCGCCTCCGAGTGGGGGCCCTGGCCCAGACCCTGGCGGTGGAGTCCGCGGCAGCAGTAGGGGAAGTCGGAGCCAAGTGCCGTATGGGACTGTGGGCACTGTGAGCGGCGGGGAGCAGGTGAGAGACTGGCTGGCGGCCCGCGACTGCCAGTAAAGCGGCGTGTGCCGGGCGGTGACACGTGGACGCCACAGGAAAGGGAGGAAGCGCTCCGGAGTCGATGCCTGGTGGCTGTGGGATACCAGTTAGGCCGAGTGGACCTGGGCCGTTTGCTGGTGGGACGCGGGGCAGAGGCAGGGTCCCTATGGCCATTACTCCAGAACGCTGGAGGGGCAGAGTCGGGTGTCGGAAACATGGCCCATGATGTCTGGGGGGTGGGGGGTGTCAAGGATTCGGACTTGGGAGTCAAAGGCTAAGACCCCCCTCTAAGGATGCCGCGTGGGGATACCCCTACCCCCGCGCCGTAGTGCCTTTTCAGAGCCACATGAGGTGGGGGGAGTGATTTCCCCGGGACAACTTGTCTGCTTCCCTTCCCCCTCTAGGCGGCTCCGGCACCCACGTGGGTTGGTCTCGGGGTTAGGGGGGGCCGCGGGTCCACGTGGGGGCGGGGAGGGGATGTCCACGTGGCTCCCGCCCCAGGCTGTCCGGCATCTCGTATCTGCGCTAGAGCCGCACTGCCGGGAACTGGGTGTGTCTCTGTGGGTCCCGCCATCTCCAGCGAGGCTGGGGGCCTCTGGCTGGGAAGGAAGGTAGGGGCTGCTGGAGTCAACTTTGCACAGAGCCTTGGAGGATTTTTTTTTCCCTCCTGCTTTGGTCCACAGCGCCATTAGACAGCGGATGGTGAAGGACTTTCCAGATGTGCGGGGAGCCTGTTCCCTGCCGATGGCGTAGAGTGATGGTTAGGGTAGAGGGCTGAGATTGAAAGACCGTGGAATGAGCTTCTGGTGGCTTCTGCCTGACCGGCTTGGGGTGGGTTGTGAGTCACGGGCACTGGCGTTTTGGTTGCCTGCAGTCCTGCCTCATTCTTGATTCGAGGAGAATAGGGAGTGTCAACATGTACATGGGACAAGCTTAAGGAAAGGAAGGGGAAGCCCTTTCTCCTCTCACTTTTGCTCCAGCATTTTTCGAGGAGACAGCTAAGGCCTACTCTTGTGAACTGACATACAAATTGAGGTGGTCTGTGTTTAAGGCTCTCTGGATCTCTGGAATTTTTGCTGGGGATAGGAAAAGTTGGAGGCGATTTGAGAACTATTCAACACTAGTTGAACATTTATTGGATGGGAGAATTCTTTCTGTCAGATTATTTTTTTCTTGGCCTTTAATTCTTAAAAAGTTATCTTTTTACTCCTCAGCAGAGGGCTTCTTAAAAGTTCCCACCCAGCGTGGAGGTGGGCAGGACTTAGTTTGAACTGTTATCTCTCTAAAGCAATTAAGCTGAGTTCTTGAAAGCCTTTTTTTTGTTCTTTAGGTGGGAGTTTGTCAGGCCTGCCAGGTAAAGTCAGTTCTGGCAAACCAATCCAGGCCCTTGCCCAGGAGAGAATGGCTTCTGGGGCCCTCACTTGGGAGCCACCCACCCTTTCTTCTCTCATTTTCTCAGAAGTCACATCTAGTGGGACTGGTGCTGCCCACCCTTTGGGGGAGAGGCAGGAAGGATCCATGATCCAGCTATAATCCAAGGTGGGTGGTCATTTGGGGTTGGAAAGGGTCCCATGGAGAAATTGTCCTTTCCCTCTCCCCCACCCTCCCAAGAAAGGTCAGCCAGGCAGCTATTTACTGAGATAATATTATGTTCAGACTCGGGATGCTGCCGTAAACCACACACGGTACCTGTCCTATTCAATCTTAGGTTGTTATTAAGCTAAACATAATAAATAATGAGTGAGACAAAAGGAAAGTGTAACATATTTGGGATTGTATAATCAGCAGTAGTAATCTACTCTACAGGGTTTGGGAAAGGACATTTTAAGATCAGATTTGAAAGCTGTGTGCGTAGGTGGGGGACACTTGCATTAGAGGGAATAATTAGGTGGAAGAGAACATGGCTTATTGGAGAGCAGAGACCTGTATGACTGGTGTGTAGATAGACAGGCAGGGTGGTGAGAGGGGCCACACTAGAGTGGAAGGATCTGGTGAGGAAGACGAGGGCCCTGTAATCAATATTAAGGAATTGAAATCTAAAGCCAAGAGCAGTAAGATGTCATTGGAGGGATTTAGGAAGGGTCTTGGGAAGTGATCAGATTGTAATTTTAAAAGTTTGTAGCTGATTTTGAATCGTGCAGAGATAAGACTGGATGTGGAAAGCCAGTTGGGAGGTTGTTGAAGTTAAGAGATGGTAGTGGCTGGGTCAGTTGTAGCCTGGGCTAGATGATCTTGGTACTCTGAGAGCTGTGCTCTTTGGGGAGTGAGTGATGGGTGAGGTCATGTGAAGATGAGGGTGTCTGACTGGGGCTTCAGTACTTGATGGAAATGATGATGAGTGGTCCGTAGAGCTGGGTATTGTCTTGAGATTCTTGCCCAGCGGCTGGGCTGGGTAGGTGGCAGGGCAAGTTGAGCCTCCTTGCTCACCCAGGAGTGTTTGCTGAGCCAGGTGCTATTCAGCTGCTGGTTATAATTACAGGATTGTGAAGGCCTGGAAGGAATTAGTGCTTAAATTTTGCCACCTTTCACTTCATCTCTGGGCCTGGCCTCCTTAAGTGTCCCTATCTAGCCTTTCCTCTCCCTGGGTATCAGAACTCCTTAACTTGGTTAGGAAAGTAGGTGTGGAGGTGTAGTTACACCTGTTGCTTTTTTTTTTTTTCCTCTCTTGGCAGAGGTACAGAGTTTCCTTTTGCTGCAGAAGGGGCAGGGGGACTGGCTTGTCAGTGTTGGTTCCTACTCTCTGGCTTTTGTATCATCTGTTTCCTATAGTGGAGATACTTGTGGCCCTGGCCTCTGGCCTTGCCAGTCCCATTCCAGCCACTTCTGGCCCTGCCCACACCCACATGCTTGACAGGCCTGGACGGGTGGCTCCCTGCCTAACAAGGCTGAAGACTTTTCTAGTTCTCAGGGAAGTGATGGGGTGGGGCTTTTCCATCTACAGAGTCAAGCTTTCTCATCTTTTGCTCTCACCTGTTAGGGATAGGGAAGAGACTTTTTTCTCTTGAGACTACCATTGAGAGGTTGAGTGGCATATTGTAGGGCCTTCAGAATAAAAGCATGAAGTAGGTGTGAACAACTGTGTCATGGATAACTAGGAACTATATGCACAGTTTAAACCCTTCTAAGAGCCCAGAAGAATATAAGCTAATAGAATATGAAGGGTTATTTGCCCCAAAGGAACTTGGAATCTAGTTTTAGTAATGATGTAAGTAATGTCATGGTGTGGGGTAGGGTAAGATGTGATTGACAGAAAAATGAGTGGTATAGCACATGTGAGAATTCTGCCTTCACACTGCCAGCAAACAACTCTTCTGAACAATCTTGATTTTTTTGATGTTTTTACTCAGTTTAATAATCTCTTATGACTCCAATTGTTTCTGGATGGAGTCAAAACTTTTTTTGCCCAGAAGGTCCTTGAACACTGCCATTCTTGCTGGGGCTTTGGCTCATGGGTTGTACTTTTCTCTGCCCAGCAGGTCCAGAGGTTTGGCTGTGGTGGATATTCTGCTAAGTCTGGGGCCATTAATGGAGGGCTAGACACCTGGTTTACAGAGCATATCAATCAGCTGTCCCAGAGGGCCCATGTCCTGTAGCCTTCACTATGCCTTTTTGACTTTCTCCCTTTCTACCCCAGGTGCTTCTGCATGAAGAGGTAGATGATTCTGGCTTTGTCAGTCTGTCTCGGCTGGGTCCCTGTCTGAAGGACAAGGACCTGGAGATGGAGGCACTGATGCTGCAAGATGAGACACTGCTGGGGACCATGCAGAGCTACATGGATGCCTCCCTCATTTCCCTCATCGAGGATTTTGGGAGCCTTGGAGAGGTGAGCTGGAGCCGGGCTTGGGGGTCGTTAGGCAGGAGCTTTGCATGGGAGGCTATGGTTCAGCGGCTCTGTTCTCCCAGAACCATGGCTCCTGGATACCTAACCTGAGTCCTCGAAGTGTGTTTTTTGTCTCTAGGTGAGAGTTGGGCTGCAGGCTGCCAGATTACGTCCCATGTAAGGATGACTCGGCAGGCTTGGACTATCATCCAAGGACTTTACCGCCCTGGGCCCCGGACTTACATGTCCACAGGATTCTTATCCCTGTTTGGAGTCCAGTTCCAGCCTAGCCAAGGGTTGTCTACTGAGCATCTTACTTGAGGGTAGAGGGAGCATGTGAAACATGTTTAAGACTTAATTCTGACAGGTCTCTGTTGACACTAGAGAGGTGGTGGGTTGTGGTAAATTAGATTGGAACCCATGCCTCCTGGTACTCAAATGTCTCCCTTGCAAATTGAGCTGAACTGAGCCTGGGAGACTGATTCTCTTGACATTCATTTCTTTTCAGTGGCTCAGTAGGTCATTAGGGATATTGGTGGGATATTCTTGTTTTCCTGGAGCAGAGCAGGTTATCTCTGGAGGACCAGAATGAAGTGTCACTGCTCACAGCTCTGACAGAGATCTTGGACAATGCAGATTCTGAGAACCTGTCTCCGTTTGACAGCATTCCTGACTCGGAGCTGCTTGTATCACCTCGGGAGGGCTCTTCTGTGAGTGTGGGACCAGGGGAAGGGCATGTGGGACCAGGGGAAGGGCATGTATGGTTGGTGCAAAGTAGGCCCATGTCTATGGGCCTATTCACATAGTTCTGAAACACAAACTCATCTCAGGTCCTTTTCTCCCTCTTAGCTGCACAAGCTGCTCACCCTCTCTCGGACACCCTCAGAACGTGACCTCATCACCCCAGTTGACCCACTGGGGCCCACCACAGGCAGTAGTAGAGTGAGTGGGGTAAGCCTGATCTAGGTAGTCTCAGGAGGGAGGAGTATGTGGGGACAGGTCTGGAAAAAATATATTCTTGAAGAAAACGTCGGTGGCTTCTTTTCTTTCCTGCAGGTTGAGATGTCTCTTGCAGATCCACCTTGGGACTTCTCCCCACCCTCCTTCTTGGAGACCTCCTCCCCTAAACTTCCTAGCTGGAGACCCACAAGATCAAGGCCCCGTAGGAGCCAATCCCCTTCTCCCCAGCAACGTAGTGATGGGGAAGAAGAAGAAGAGGTGGCCAGCTTCAGCAGCCACATACTTGCTGGGGAGCGCGACAACTCCATGAGCAGCATCCCAGACTTTCCCATGCATCTGGCCTGTCCTGAGGAGGAAGATAAAACAGCAGCAACAGCAGCAGCAGAGATGGCGGTGCAGGCAGCTGGTGACGAGAGCATCTCTTCCCTGAGTGAGCTGGTGCGGGCCATGCACCCATATTGCCTGCCCAACCTGACCCATCTGACATCACTTGAGAACGAGCTTCAGGAGCAGCCAGATGATTTGACACTGCCTGATGATTGTGTGGTGCTGGAGATTGTGGGCCAGGCAGCCACAGCTGGCAATGACCTGGAGATCCCAGTTGTAGTACGGCAGATTCCTCCTGGACCTCAGCCTGTGCTCCTGGATGACTCACTAGAGGCCAATCCGGCCTTGCAGCTGCTTTTGCCTACACTAGAGCCAGAGCCCAAGGAAGCCCTCTGCCTTGAGAAAGAGGAGTTGTCACTGGACCCAGAAGAAAAGCTGGAGTCAGCCTGCTTTTTGGAGCCCACGGAGGTCATGGAGCCAACAGTGCCCAAGGGGCCTCAGAACCTACCGGCCAGTGCAGTGCTGAGTTCCCAGAGAGCTCTAAAGGGCAGAAGGAAGAAAAGCAAGGAACAGCCAGTAGCGTGTACAGAAGGCTATGCCAGGAGGCTGAGGTCATCCTCTCGTGAGCAACCTGCTGTGGCTACAGAGGTAACTTCTCAGGCAAGCTTCTTGCCTCAGGAGGAACTTCAAAGAAAGGTTGGGCCTCCCCGTGGTAGAGGGAAGCCCCGGGCTTGGGCTCGGGCCTGGACAGTTGCCGTGGAAAAGCCTAGCTCTGGGAACGTGGAGAGTAGTGCCGGACAAGCTAGTCCTACTAAAGAGGGTCCTCTAGACCTCTACCCCAACCTGGGTGAAACCATGAAAACCAACCTAGTTCCAGCCCATCTCTCATTGGTTGACTCTGCTCGAGCCGACCCCATGCTACTTAACTCTGCTGAAGCTGATCCTACTGCAGTTGACCCTGTTGTAGCTGAGCATGTACCTGTCGACCCTGCATTGGTTGACCTTTCTTCAGCCAACTCAGAGCTGGTCGACCCTCTCTCAGCTGACCCAGTGCTGATTGAACCAGTCCTGGCTGACTCAGCAACAATTGACCGTACAGTGGTTGTTCCTATCTCAGGTGACTTGTCACCAGTTGATCCTGCCTTGGCCAACCCAGCACCAGTTGCCCCTGTTCCTGATGACCTGGCTCCAGTTAATCCCGTGCTGGTTAAGTCTAGACCAACTGATCCCAGACGTGGTGCAATGTCATCAGCCCAGGGGAGTCCAGCCCCTCAGCTCCTTCTGAAGTCAGAATCCTTGGATTCTCCAAAGGCCATCATCCCTAAAGTTAGAGAGGTCATGGGTCCTCTGAAGGTGGAAAGTGGTACCAGTGCCACAACCCAGGAAGCCAGACCTCGGCCTCTTAGCTTGTCGGAGTACTGGCGACGAAGGCAGCAGCGCCAAGGGGAGGCAGAAGAAAGGAGTTCCCAGCCTCCAGCCGGGAAGTGGCCCAGCCTCCCAGAGACTCCCACAGGGCTGGCAGATATCCCTTGTCTTGTAATCCCACCAGCCCCAGTTAAGAAGACAACTCTGCAGAGAAGCCCTGAGGCTCCTGAGGCTTGCTTTGTGCCTGTGGGTCCCAGCCCTGCTTCTCCTAGTTCTGATCCACCTGCAAGCAAACCTATCACCTCAACTCCCACTGAGCAGGTGCCATCCCAAGAGATGCCATTGCCGGCAAGACCTCCAGCTCCTACTGTGCAGTCTGTGCCCCCCATAATACCCACTGCTCTGCCTTTTCCACCAGGTGGGCTGGGCATGACTCCTATGCTGCCCCTTCCTGCAACTGGGCAAGGGGTTCCTAGTCTGCCCCCACCACCCTTACAGCCTCCTAGTCTTCCTATGTCTGTGGGGCCAGTACCACCTGATCCTTATACTCATTATGCCCCCATGCCACCCTGGCCTTGTTATCCCCCTGTGTCGCCTTCTGGCTATCCTTGCCCACCTCCACCACCAACAGTGCCCCTAGTGTCTGCTACTGCTGGCGCCTATGCTGTTCCCCCCACTTGTAATGTGCCTTGGGTACCCTCTCCCACCCCAGTCCCACCATACAGCTCTAATTGTACTTATGGGCCCCTAGGATGGGGCCCAGGGCTGCAACACCCTCCATTCTGGCCTGCTGTGCCCCCACCTCCTTTGCCTCCAGCCTCTGTTGGGAGAGCTGTTCCCCCACCCAAGGTGGAGCCCAGTGGCATTCCAGCTGGCCCTCCTGAAAGTGTACTTCCTGTGCCAATGGCTCCTCCCCTCAGTCTTGGGTCAGCTGGTGAGAGAGCTTCACAGATAGAGCCCACCAAGATAGAGATTAAGCCAGTGCCTGCATCTCCCCATTTGAAGCACAAGGTGTCCTCCCCAGTACAAAGCCCCCAGAATAAGTCTTCACCATGTCTGTATGCTGAGAGTGTGGCTCTTGAGGAGCCTGCATCAGAGAGGCTAAACCTTGAGACCCAGGAGTCCAGGTCCAAGGAGAAGCCCTCCTCTCTTGTTGCCAAGGCTGTTCCTACACCCATACCGAGGCAGAGCACTGTCACCAAGTTGCCTGCTGTCCACCCAGCCCGTCTAAGGAAACTGTCCTTCCTGCCTACCCCACCTACCCAGGGTCCTGAGGATGTGGTACAGGCTTTCATCAGTGAGATTGGTGAGTGCCACACAGTTCAGTTGGTGTGAAGAAGGGTATGGGAGTTGGGTGGGGAATGCCCTCCTCAGAACAGGATAAAGCACCTTGATAGGGCTGGCCTTTGTTGGATTTCTTTGGAGAGTTCTTGAGGTGGAGCTCAGGGTTTGTTTAATTTCTTCCTGCTTTGTGGTGTTGTCTTGGTTTACTTAACATAGTGGGCAGGGGGAGCATAAAGAGGAGTGAGGTGATTTGGGACTTGGGACCTGTGTACTGAGTTGATAGGGCCTGGTTTCCAGTCCTGTGTTTTGTGCTTCCACAGGAATCGAGGCATCGGATCTGTCCAGTCTGCTGGAGCAGTTTGAGAAATCAGAAGGTGAGGGAACGTGGGTAGCTTTGCTCCAACCCCTTTTTGGGCCCAGCCTATAGTCACTTAAACTGGGGCAGGGGAGAAGAAGTCTAAGGCACTGGAACAGCCCTGTAATTGGAATGGAGAGACAAGATTCACCTGTATTGCCGTCTAAGCCAGGGAGAGGGTAGTGGTACAGCATATCAAGAACTATAAAGACCGATGAAGAAATCCAAATAGGTTGGTTGGTTGGGGTCATTTTTCTAGAGGGAAGTAGTTCTCAAACTAGTCCTTGAAAGACAGGATTTCCTAGAGTGTGTAGTGAATAAAGGCAGAAGTATAGGAATGATTGAGTATGGTGTATTTGGAAGGTGATGGATAGCTCAGCTTTTTCAGTGCAACGCATGGATCTAGGTGCTGTGGAGATTACTATGTCCTGTCCTAAAGGAGCTTATGGTCTAACTGGGGAGAAAAATCTGCAGAAATAAATTGGTAATGGGTATTCATAGTTCAAGGTAAAATATAAAACATGATTAGTGTATAACGAGTAGGCTACAAGACTGGGAAGTTAGGTAGGTCACGTAGAACCTCGAATGTTAGGCTTAGAAGATTCAGTGAGAAGTGTGGACATTTCTGAGCAGAGAAGAGACGTGATTAAAAATAGTATCTGGGTACCTACCAGAAGAGAATGGACCTCTCTGGGGAGCGACTAGTGAAACACGTAGGCAAAGTAGATTTTCCTCCTTTGGGTCTCAAAGTCAGCCCTTTTATGGCTCTTCAATCTGGAACATCCGGTTGGGCTTTTAACTGGTATGGTTTCTTTGCAGCCAAAAAGGAGTGCCCTCCCCTGGCTCCTGCTGACAACTTGGCTGTAGGAAACTCAGGGTAAGTATGGAGACATGTGAAGCGAGTTACCCTACAGCTGTTGGTCAGCAGCCAGCCGGCACTCCAGGACCATCCACTAGATGCTGCTGTTGCAGGGCAGGGATGTTTAGTCAGCTGTAGAGTTTTTCCGTTTCCTCATCCCACAGCCCATCACTACTGGGCATTGTCTTGGTTGGCGAGATAGGAGATGCGTATCTGCCTCTAGCCGATTCTAGTTTGGGGTTCCAAATGTCCTGGAGGTGCCTTTTATCTTCTGGCAAGTCGTGCCTTTGGGGATTTCTTTTTCATTTGACAGACTTTAAACTTGTTCAACATTGGTGATTGTATAAGATAAGTTGGGGAAGTTGTTTATTGCTAGGGCTTCCCTGACTTTATTTAGAGAACACAGGCACCCACTCTTCCAGCACTAAGAGGCTATTTTATTTTTCTGGTTCATGTTACCCCATCCTATTCTGCCAAGCATTCCTCTCCACATTGATTTTGGGTTGGTTTGAGCCGGGTAGGCGAGGCTCCTGGCTTAAAAGAGGTGGGGGGTGGTATTCAATGTCATAGTCGGCCTGCCTCCTGGCATTGGGCAGAGATGAGCTGAGACCCAGTCTACAATTCAGTCACTAAGGTGCCTTTTGTGCTGGAAGAGAATGATAGCGGCAGTTTGTGCATCCTATTCCTCTCTGCACGCACCCCTTCTCCATTGCTTTGTGAGGAAAGCAGATGTACAGGATGTTGAGGAAGCAATGAACCAGGCTTTCCCTTTTCCCCCCTGCCAGCAGCGTTGACCCTCCCCAGGAGAAGAGGCCCCTAGACCGGTTACAAGCCCCAGAACTGGCCAACGTGGCAGGTGGGTTCAGGGTGGGGAACTCTGCCTTTGATTAGTTTATGAAGCAAATGTTTGTAGAGCCCATTCTGTACTAAGTATGTGTAGGTGTTGGGGAGACAGATCTGATCCTTGTTCTTGAGGTGCTCGCGGTCCAGGGGGTAAGTGTGTAAAATGAGTTGTTGAGTACCTGAGGCTGTATGTTAAAGAAACCTTATGGTTTATAGTGGGGTCTGATGAGGGTCAGGGAAGGGTTATATGGAAGGTAATTCCTAAAGCAGAGGCTTGAGAAAATCACTGATACCAATTAGGTTTAGAGGATGGAGCATTCTAGGTTGATGGAGCAGCTTGAGTGAACTGAAAGAAAACCAGCCTGGTATATTTTGAGGAACTATGAATGGTTCATTTTGGCTGGAGTGTAGTAGCTGATCAGGGTGGTGGGTAGAGAGCTAAAGCAAGAAATAAAGCTAGAGGGGTAAGTAGGAGGTCAGGTTTTGAGAACTTTGGATGCATTGGTAAGCTATTTAGACTTTATCCTGTGCATTGAAAAAGCTTTACTACATTGGTTTTTGGGTCCTCACTCCAGCAGAAATGTAGAAGACAGGTGGACGGGTGTGAAGCTCAAGGTAGGGGATCATGGGAAGATGATTACATGAGTCCAGGCAAGATGCAGCCAGAAGTCAGGTAGTGCTAGGGGGAGAGAGCGGGTCAAGGAATGGAGAGGTAGACCAGACAGGACCTGGTTACTAGCTAGATTTGGGCAGTGAATAGTTGGGTTCAGGAAGACCCTTGCTGCCTGGGTTTCCATTGCTGGTCCCCAAGATGGAGATCTTGGGGGAAGGAGTACTTGCAACAGTGGGAGAAATTGGGCTATTGACCATTGTTGGTGTACTTCGTGAGATGAGGTGGGGGTCTCTGGAGCCTGTATATGCAGTGTTCGGAAGTGTAGAATCGGATCTCATCTTGCTATCTCCATCCTCCCTCCCCTCACAGGGCTCACCCCTCCAGCAACCCCTCCCCACCAGTTATGGAAGCCCTTGGCTGCTGTTTCACTGCTGGCCAAAGCCAAATCTCCTAAGTCCATCGCCCAGGAGGGATCCCTGAAGCCTGAAGGAGTTACAGAGGCCAAACATCCAGCTGCAGCCCACCTCCAAGAAGGGGTCCATGGCCCTAGTCCAGTCCATGTGGGCTCTGGGGACCATGACTATTGTGTCCGGAGCAGGACTCCCCCCAAAAAGACGCCTGTCCTAGTTTTCCCAGAGGCGGGCTCGCGATGGAATGTCAAACGCCATCAAGATATCACAATCAAACCGGTCTTGTCCCTGGGCCCAGCTGACCCACTGCCTCCACGCATAGCTGCCTCTCAGGAGCCACTTGATCACAGGACTAGCAATGAGCAGGCAGATCCCCCAGCCCCTTGCCTTGCCCCATCTGCCTTGCTGTCCCCTGAGGCCTCACCCTGCCGGAATGACATGAACACTAGGACTCCCCCTGAGCCCTCAGCCAAGCAGCGGTCAATGCGCTGTTATCGAAAAGCCTGCAGGTCAGCCAGCCCCCAAAGCCGGGGCTGGCAGGGCCGCCGTGGCCGCAGCAGTTCTGTCAGTTCTGGGTCCAACCGGACCAGTGAAGCATCTTCCTCATCATCGTCGTCTTCATCCCGATCCCGGTCCAGGTCCCTCTCCCCGCCACACAAGAGGTGGCGAAGGTGAGCTCTGATGGCCTGTTAGGTCTTCTCCATTTAGGAAGTTCATGTTCTCTTCTCTGATTTACTTTGAAAGCTTTTGCACATTGAGTTTGATACTTTAAGGCACTATGGCTTCTATTTCAGTCTTTGGCTTTTGTCTTCCTTTCCTGGATTGTCGAAGGTGGTAAGCTGTGAGAAGATAGCTTCTGTTTCCTGTTGGAGTTTGGGGTATCTCTGAGGTCTCCTGCTTCAGTGAGGCCTGCCTTGGGGAGACCTTTCGGGTTTGATCTTGACCATGTTGATTGTTTTACATACTATATTAGTCCTTGTTTCTGGTATTTTCCTGTTGGTTTGTGGGAAGGTCGGATCATGGGTTGTTAATGGCAGACAGTCCTTCCTTTAATTGTCGGTTAGGGACGAG